CAGCAGGCCACCCAGCATGTGTGCTAAGGCATCGTTCTTCCAGTTGGCAGGCATTCTTTGCCCAAATATAGAAAAACTGTCATTTCACCTTGTTTGCATCCATTTTACTAAGCTGGTCCGATTGTTCTGTTAGTTTCTTTATAACTCACTGTCCTGAGTCTTATGCTGTCTAAAAGTTTCAGTAACTAAGTTACCGTGCTTACACTTACTGAGTGCTGTGTTTACCTTGTTTGTTGTTGCAGCATAGCATAGCAGTCAAATGATCTACTGAGACCATGTCGGATGCTCTGCAGAAATCTGTTATACCAACCTTATCTTTTAACCAATGTGTCAGTGATCTTACTGAGATCCACTCAGTTTGTGTTTATTTTCGGTAATCTCTTGCTGCTTAGTCTTTGTTGAACTTTGTTGAACTCTTTCAGTTCCTTTATCCACGGTATGATAAAATAGGTGCTCTGGGGTACTCAAGGATTTGTTGCTATTCCAGATGAGTGCTGGATAGTGAATGTTAAACTTCGACTTTTCCGAGTAAGTTAGCTTGGAGTACTTAATTTGAAGAATGCTGTTCTACTTGCTCGCTTGTTTTAGGTAAATCCATTGCTTGAAGCTTTTGGCAATGCCCAGACTGTGATGAATGACAACAGCAGCCGCTTTGGAAAGTACATACAGCTGCGTTTCCAGCAGAATACAGGTGAAGTCCAGTGCAGTTACTAGCCTGGGGAATGGTTAGGCACTGGAGCAAGTGGACTGAGTAACCAGAACTTGTGGAGGGTGAAATTTTGACAGCTGTCTCCATGAGGGAGGGGTGTGCAATGAAATAAAATCTTACAGCAACCACAGCTGTAGCATAAGGCCTGGGTTTGGACAGTGTGGGGGTGCAGGAAGGATATGGGGGTGACAGTGCAGGGGAAGTATCAGTAATACTCTGTGGTGCCAGAAGCCTTGGTTGCTGCTAAAGGAGGTGAACAGACATCTCTAAGGTGATGGGAAGCACGGAGAAGCCCATTTCTTGGGTGCTGGGCAGCCTAAAGATTGTTGCACACAAGAAAGTTATTTTAGACAATTCTGTGCTCTTATCATGAAAGAAGAGATGTGGGATAGCTCAGTCACCTTCGTGTCCACAAGTGTAAAGTTGACCCTGTCACCTTCTTGTGTGCAGTGCGAGGTGCAAAGCTGAGCGAGTACCTGTTAGAGAAGTCACGGGTAGTGCAACAAGATGCTGGGGAGAGAAATTTCCATATCTTCTACTACATGTTTGCTGGACTCTCTTCAGAGGAAAAGGAGATGTATGGGCTGTTGGATCCTTCACTCTACAGGTACCTCAAAGGCAGACCCTAGTTTAGTCTTCATCGTGAGGGGGTGCAGGGGAAGGAAGCATAATGGAGCCTATGCCTCTGCCCTGTGGCTCTATTTGTGGAGCCTGGTACAGGTAAACAAATGAATGGAAGCTGGAGTGGGTCTCAGTGGAGCTACCTGAAGAGATCTCATGGGTCATCGTGGAAGCTAGGAGGTCTGGAGTGTCTTCTTTGCTGCGTTACCTTGGAAAAGTTTCTTTCCCTTTCATGTCTCCACTGGTGCTGATCTGCTTTGTTCCTTTGGAGTAGGACTGACTTGCTGTGCTGGTTGTGTGACAATTTTGTATGGGATATACACTTTCTCAGGTACATAAGTGGACGATTTGGTACACAAGATGTAGCTCAACGCTGGAAGCACAAATACCAAGAGGTGTGCAATGCCCTTGACATGGTGGGCTTCCAAGAACAGGTCAGTTCTGGGGTCGTTTAATTTCCATCTGTGCTTCCTGCAGGCATAGGGTTTCTTTCTGGTTGCTGTTCTGAGGCTCAGTCCTATTTCTCTCCTCTCTGGATTTTCATGTTTCTTCCAAACTGCCTGAGTCTGTCAGAGTTTGTGTAGACTCTTTTCCTACAGGCTGCCTGTGCTTTTCCCTCACATCTGCAGCTTCTGGGGCCTCTGTGTTGTATATGTTATGTGCTGACAGGTTTTCAGCTGCCTTTCTTTTGTGTTTTAGGAGCAAGTGGACATGCAGGCTATCTTGGCTGGTGTGTTGTCTCTGGGCAATGTGACCTTTGAGCCTGAGGAGAGCAGTGGGTGTGTAAAAGTGAGTGAAACCTCCCGGGGATGGCTGAAGGCTGCAGCGGTGAGTCACAAGAGCTGACAGAAACCTTATGGTTATGATGATGGTTCCCACTGGGAGGGTGACTGCAGGAGCTGTTTGTGCCGCGGATAGCAGAGGAAGTTTCTGTCTGAGAGTGTGAGGGCTGCTGAAGAACAAGGAGTTTTTTTCCAGAAATGCACAGTATGACCCCACGACTGCAGTTGTGTTCACTGCTAGTCATTCCCAAAGAGACACTTCCCAGCTTCTGTTTCCCGTGGGTCTAGAACCAGTGTCTTGCAGATGGTGATATCACACATGCCTTGTTGATTTCATACAATACAAGCTTTTTAAAATTAAACGTTTTATATTACTAAGTGTGATGATGCCTTGGTGTGTTGTGTTGCCTTAAGGTGTGCAGTATCTGAACACTGGTTCTGTGTCTTCAACAGATCTTGTTCAAGGATACCACCTTCACTGCTATCAATTTTTGTTGCTTATCCAGAATTAAACTTTCTACTATTTCACGTGAAATTATCACTGATTAAGAAGTATATATTCCCCAGGACCATCCCATTTTTATTATATGGGATGGATACATTAGCCTGCTTTGTTAACAACACAGAGCAGAAAAGTGTAACATATTTCTGCCTTTTCTATGTCTTTCTATTTTCACCTATTTGAAATCGCGGCACGCTTGGTTTTTGGTTTCACTCCCATCTCTTTGCCTGTTTCCCTCCTACACCATACCTGAAACAACCAGCTGCATCTGTTCAAAAGCTAGCTTCTTTCTGTTTCTTACTTCTTAAAGTCTGCTCCTTGTTTTTTGCCCACGGGAGGGGAATTCCTGTTAAAGCCATCGCTGAGGGGTTCAGTTGTGTCCGAGTTCCCTTTGTTTCCTGTCTCTGGTGGGTTCGTGTGACTCTGAGGTCTGGAGAAGCTCCGGCACCTCAGCACCTGCACAGTCACCTCAGTGTGGTGCTGTTCAGTAAGTCATTAAACCGTGCAGCAGGGACTGGCGTGGCTCCCCAAGAAGGTGGAAGGTGGCAGCACCGGGAGAGCGAAACAGAAAGCGTTTCAGAAAGAGCATAAGAGCCAGCTTGGTGGCCACAGCGGTAATGCAGATCTCGAAGCCCGCGTCTGACTCCAGTGCTGCAAAATGTTAACAGTAATACTTACCTTGCAGCGGAGCTCGAGGGCCTTAATCTGAGTCGTGGCCCCGTTACACCGGGTGTCGCACAGGCACAAGGAGGTACAAACCTCACAGGCAGAATAAGGAGAATATTGACTGTCCTCATCTATTTCCTCTCTCCCAGGGTCAGTTTGGAGTCCAAGAAGATGAACTGTTAAAATGCCTTATTTGTACGATGTCAGTGACCCGAGGTGAGCAGATACAGCGTTTTCACACCCAGCAGCAGGCAGAAGGTAAGAAACCTAATGAATTGCAGATGTGTTGGCTAGAAAGACTGACCCATATTTGATGGAAGGGTATGCCCACACATGTGCAACTTCTTGGGAACAAAGATGTCTGTCTGTGGCCCTTCATTCCTCTTGCACAGAGGCAAGTTTATCAATGTTTTTCTGTTTAGTCTCTTACTGACATGTAGGACCATGAATGCTGCTTTTGTTTGATCTCCAGTAGACTGCAGGGATTAAATGAGAAACCAAGGAATTAGCTTTGCTTTCTCCCTCAGTCCAGCCTAGAAGGAAACTATAGATAGTTGTACGAAAGAGAGGAGGGCTCCTGTTGCGGAGTGCTGGCAGTGTGCAGAGCTCTAGGCAGTAGATGAAGAAATAACTGAGAGAATCAGTGAGATTGCACTGTGTCATGGAAGGAGTGAGATGAAAGGGGAGTATGTCAAAGTAGCAAGCACAAGGTGTTATTTTCTCGTTCAGTAAGAAAGGAAAATGGATCTACGATAATCTGCACAAAAAGGCTCCGTTAAAAGATTTAAAACATAAATTTGAAAACTATTAAATCCCAGGATTTCTAGATGATTGCTTAAAATAAATGAAAGAAAAAGCTGAAAATGGAGAATTAGCTAGTTCTGTTTCCCAAATGTCTTCTCTAGCATCTCTCTAGACAAGAAAACATACACCTCCCATCATGCAGTAGGTCATGCTGATTTGGTCTCCTTCATCTTAGATGCCAGCAAGTTTTCCATCAATTGCACCCTCCCCTTGCCCACAGCATTTGAAGACTTTGCAACTGTGGGCAAGGAGGAACAGAACCATTCAGTTTTCCAAGTTCAGCTTGGAGCCTCTTGCTTGGTTTAGCAGTGAGGGGGTCCATACTCAGTAGACCTGCAGAGGGGAAAGCAAGTGTCTGAATATTCTAAAAAGTGGCTGGACTCTTTTGGATATGAAATTTTCCGTTTTAGATGGTCTCACAAGTGCCATATCTGATCTTGTAGAAAGACTGAAGATTCTGGAATGAAAGAGTTCTCTGTGAGCATGCAGAGGGCAGGGATGATCAGACAGATATCTAATGTTTATCTGATCTTTAAAATAGCTTCGTAAACTGCTAGACATTGTTACTAGACGTGAATGTGTTGAGCCATCTTGTGTGCTGTGTTGCCTACTCTCCTTGGAGCCCTTCATTGAGCTGCTGTCACCCTTGCTGTGCAGATGCTCGGGACTCCATTGCAAAGGTGGCATATGGCCGAGTATTTGGCTGGATCGTTTGCAAGATCAATGAGCTGCTGGCTGAGAATGTGGATCCTGAGGTGGAACTGAGGGAGATAGGTGAGTTCTGCCTGCCTTGCTCCTGTTCTGTCCTCAAATGTGCATCTCTCAGCTACAACGAAGGAAAGGCAGAATATGAGGTTTTGCAGAGATTGCGTGCAGGGATCCATTATCAAAGACATGATCATGTTGGAGATACTAGTCAGCAGCATGAAGTCTGTAGGGCCTCGGCCAACTCTGAGCAGCTGGCTGGTCTGAGGCAACTGTGAGGCTGTAGTTCTGGGGCACTCTGGCTTTGCAGAGGAGCCAGGGGTGGAAGTGGGGCTTCTTCTCACTAGTTCTCCAAGGGGAGTTACAGGAGGGGTGCCGCTGGTGACTTCACTGGGGTTTCCCTGCGCGACAGGAGCTGGGTGACGGGAGATTTAGCTGTGTGTTGGGGTACACAGCTATCTGCAGGGATGGTCTGCAGGCTCCATGATGTGCTGATTTTCCCACTTCTAGGTATCTTGGATATTTTTGGGTTTGAAAACTTTGCGGTGAATCGCTTTGAACAGCTCTGCATCAACTTGGCCAATGAGCAGCTGCAGCACTTCTTCAACCATGTAAGTCTGCTGTGGGTGATCTCACCTTGTGTGGTGGAGAAAGCAGAGCACTGGTCTACCTGGCATATGAAGGAGAGCTTGGGGAAAAACATTCTGTCCTGGAAGGACAGAAGTGGTGATTAGCAAAGCAGGGTAGTGCACAGCAACCTTCTCTGCTGTGGCAGAGGAGCCACTGGGGCAGGGAATGAAGAAGTAGAAGGGTCAACCAGTGACCGAAGTTGGCAGAGCAGGGACACTTGCACTTAGAGAAGTGTTTTTGTTTTACACACCAGCACCAGTGAGTGACAGGCTTACGGATGAGCACGCAGAACAGCAGTTTCATCTTGAGCCTCTCCTGCATGGGTGAGAGCGCTGTGCCTCTGTCCTCTCTTCAGGGTGGGAAGGAAGATGTTATGGGTTGTCTAACCAAGTCGGCTGGGTGCTACAGAATTTTTTTTCTCTGTTTCAGCACATTTTCCAGCTGGAGCAGGCTGCCTATAAGGAAGAAGAGCTGCCTTGGGAGACTATCACATTCAACAATAATGAACCTATTCTGGTGAGTGAATTGCTCCATCCAGCCAGGAGAGAAATCTTGCTCTTTCTGTCACAGGGAGGAGATGCACCTGGGAAGAACTTCTTCAAAGGGTGGTGTAGGTGAGAGTGGATGCCCTACACTGCTTTAGATATGTGTAATGTGTCTCCTCTCCCACAGAATCTGCTCCTGGCCAAGCCACTTGGGCTCCTGTCTCTTCTGGATGAGCAGAGTGCATTCCCTCAGGTATGCATGAGATAGGGGGCTGAGAAAATAGTGCAGGGAATGTAGCAATAGATATCTGGGCTACAGAGAGAGCTCTTAACGTTGGAGTGTGACTTCAAAGAGCAGGATGAGCAGAAGTGTTCCCATGTGTGACCGATGAGATGGGACAGACAGATCAGGGGCAGTCTGATGATATTGGCATCCCTGTGGAGAGTCAGAGAGACACTACAGGACAAAACTGTGTCAGAGCCAAGGACGCTTCCAGCACTTTGTTTTGCTTCCATGTACCCTGATCAGGTCTCTGTTGCAGCTTTATCATTTGATTATGAAATCTGCTTTCTTGCAGGCAACTGATAAGACGTTTGTGGATAAACTGAACAGCAGCTTCAAGGGGAATTTACACTTCCAGCCAGGCCGAGGCCGTGTTTTGGGCTTCAGCATCATTCACTATGCTGGAAAAGTATGTACTGTTTGCAGGAGTTATGCTGTTGTAATGTATGCAGGAGCAGGAAAATACGTTGCCTGACAAATAAGGACTGTATGGTCTGACAACGATGTAGCAGAAGTGATGTGTTCCCAGGGAGCTGCCTTCTAGGATTCCCTGGGATTTTGGTAGAAGGCTTAGGAAGAGAGGACCCCTGAGGAAAGAGGGACTGCCTTTGGGAAGCATAGGGTATTAGAAGAATGTGCTGTATTCATCATCATTCTATTGGAGCTCTAGTCTTAAAATAGTCCTTTATAAAATAAAAGCCCTGCAGGCTTTACTTTTACCTGTTGGGTTCCAGAGCGTAGCAGTCATTGCTTTATTGCAAACACTGAGGAACACAATGAGGGCAGCCAGGTAATGAATGTTTCAAAAGTGGAGGCACTTATACATTTGAATGGTATCTAAGCAGCTTGGGGTTTAGGACTGTTGCGTGTAACTTTATTACCACCAATTCTGAAAGCATTGGCCCAAATATCTTGAAATAATTGGAGATAATTTTTGGAGCAGGAGCAGACATCACAGTTCGTGTATTGTCATTTTAATATGCAATTTAATAATCTAATCTCACCATTGTTGACTAAGTTATTACTTGTGACATTCTTTATTACAAAAATTAACACTTAACGTACAAAGGAGAGTGGCAGGCTGGAGATGAGAAAGGAAGGGAGCAAGAGAAACAAGGGGATGCATGAAAATAGGATGGAAGCCTATTCAGAGGGAAAAGGGGGAGAGCAAGGAAAATAGTGAAGCATAAACCAAAAGTAAATGAAACTTCATAGGCAAGGAAAGCAGAACAAGAAGAGGTGGATGTCTCAGTGTTTTGCTGCACTCCTGGGAGTCTAATGCGTCAGTGACGTCTGCAGGGTTTTGTGCCTCAGGGTTTGCATCTAAATAGGGTGCACATGCATTTACAGAATTCACTTGTGAGCCAGTGTACAGAACTGACGTGCAAGCCAGTGTGCATTGAGTTCAACAGCTGCTCCTGGCAAGCTGGTGGAGGTGGCTCTCACAGCGAGCCTGTGAGTGCTGCTGGCCTTAGTGACTTGCTGCCCTTTCCCTTAGGTACAGTACACTGCGGGGGGCTTTCTAGAGAAGAACAGAGACACCTTACCAGCCAACGTCCGTGGGCTCTTCATCAACAGTGTCACCCCCTTGCTGAGTGTGCTGTTCACAGGCAAGTCTCTCTCCTATGACAGGACATCCCACGTGAATCAAGGCCAACCTTGGCAAGAGTTAAGTGTGGGGATGAGGCAGGTTGTATCCTCTTCCAGAGAATTAGCCGCTGCTCAGATGTCTTCCAGCAGATCACATAGCCCGTCTTCTCCCAGGACTGTCTCCACTGGCCCTTTCCATATGCTCTGTTCTTGTCTAGAAGTGGACAAGGTCGTTCACACTGAAAACAGAGTGCTGTAAAGCCACAAGGAATTAGTGTAGAGATTGTCCTTTCCAAACATCTTTTGTTTTTCAGGTGCAACTTGTTTGAAAAACTCTGAGGTTGTCCATTATTTCTCTCCCACCACTACACTCCCTTTTTGCATTTACTAGCTGATAAGCCCTCAGAGTCTCCAAGGCTTCTGTGAAAGTAAACATTTAGAGAAAAGTCGGGTGGATGCTTCCTTGGAATTTGTCTGGCTGAACACAGTGCTTCTGGTGCAGATTTTTTTTTTTTTTGTCCTGTTCAGTGCATGCCACTTTCTGGGATTTACAAGTAACTGATTAATTTTCTTTCTTTCTCTGCTGTGTTTTCAGCTCTTTGCTCAAGAGTATCTTTCTTAATTACCACCTCCACACTGTTATTATAGATACTTAGTGTAGTCCCAACTCTTTGAAAGTTCATAAACAGCAGAGATAACCCGTTCTCAAATTGGTTGTCCAGTCCTGGGCAGCCCCGGTTGCCCTGCTGAGCAAAGAAGTTGGCCCAGATGACCTCCAGAGGTCCCTTCCAACCTCAACCCTTGTGTGATTCTGTGATTCACACCAGGTCGTTACATCAAGGGCGTTCAGGACCCTTGTGTCACTTGATCCTTCAGTAAATTCAACTTCCCAGAATTTTTCATCTTGTCACTGAATTAGTTTTAAGGTATCTGACTTTATATAACCTCCCATCTTGACTGTTGTAGGTGAGCTTCCCATCTGCTATCTGTACTTTTTTTCTGCATTGTTAGATGCCAGTTGATGATATTTCTTTTGAAGGCCGTTTAGGGTTCTTCAATAACCTGATTGCCGTGTCTCCTCAGTAGAGGAAAATAATATTGCCTGCATTGTATGCTTCATATATTTGCATTTTCTTCTCCCTTTCTTTAGCTTTTTCTTGCATTTCCACATGGTGAAACCTAACGCCCTGTCTGTGATTCAATATTTGTAGGGAGACTTGTGTGTGAAGTGAGGTTTGAATGTATAGACATAGTTGATTATGAACAAAGGTACAAAGTTAACTGTTGTCTCTGTTCTTCCAGCCACTATCTCCAGGACAGGGACACTGATGCCTCATGTGAAAGCCAAGGTATTGCACTTCAGGTCCACATGGCAATTGATAAATGATGGCACAGTTACCTGATATTTACTGAAAATGAGAGCAGACAGAAATCGGTTGAAAATAAGAGCAGACAGCAATCTGCTTGCAACAATTTCTCCTTTCTTTTTTACTGTGTGTCCTGCTTGCTTCTGCTGATATATTTAACCTGTCTTCCCTCCCCTGAAATCCATTCTCTCTCCTTTTTCCCATCTGCCTTGCAGCAGAGCTGTTTGAATGGCAATCGAGCACTTCTTCCAGGGATGATCTTTTGTTTGGGTCTGGTTTCAGGTCGTACCAGGAGCGGATGACAAGTTCAACAGCACACGAAAACAGTCCGCCGGAGCTCAGTTCCGGGTAAAGTATTGCTGTCCTCCAGTCCGCCCTGAGATGAGTGCAGTGATATTTTAGCTTTAGAGAGCTTTCAGGCTGCTAAGCATCATTGAAGCATCCAGCAGGTAGACAGAGGTTTTTCTGGGTGCCAAGCACTGCTGATTGTGGTGGGAGTGACCTGGTTGTTATCGGAGCTTCGGAAGTTGCTGTGGGCTGGGAAGACAGCTCCTGCTGCAGGATATTGCGCGCCGGGCTCCGGCAGCACTTTGTCTTGCTGTACTGTTGATCTTTCTCTGCCCTCGCCAGCATTCCCTGATGGTGCTCATGGAGAGGATGTATTCTGCCAACCCGCACTTTGTGCGCTGTATAAAGCCCAACAGCCAGAAGGAGCCAGGCGTGGTGGACAGCCAGGTGGTGCTGCAGCAGGTGAGGAGAAGCAGTGTCCTGTACAGGTAATTCTGCCACATCTCAGTGGGGAGGGCACAGCCCACTGAAAGGCTGCGGAGATAGCTGGAAGCTGACTGGTCTGAGTTTGCCCTTGCAAGAGAAAGAGTAGGCGTGCTTTTTGTGCATGTAAAGGTTCTGGGTACTTGGTTGTTTTTGTGACACAGACTGCGAGGTCCAGGTTTTGCAGTCTTCATTCTCTGCCATTTCTTTTTCGTGAATACAGTGAGATCTGCTTCTCAGGCACTAGGATTAGTCTTGCATCTCCTGGATGGGGACTGGTACGGACAGTACTCTGGAAAAAATGATGCTTCCTGGAGGAGACTGTTCTCACCCGTCAGCCAGGGCAACACTGAATAGGAACCAAGATGGGATCACTTTGATAGGAGCTGAAATGTGCTGATATGACTGTCTTTGGGTATTGTGTCAGGTCTGAGATCCAGACGCTTTAGAGAATACTGAAAATTATTAGAAGAGTTCAGAAAGCTCTGTGGCCTGTTCAATGTATGTAAGAAAGGGTAGGATTAAGAGGGAAGTTCATCTATGCCTCAGAGTACTTCTTTGTCCAGATTTGGAAGTAAAAGGCTATCCTCTAAGGGACAGAGGCAAAGCAGTACCCATAGCTGGAAGATGAAGTTATTTCAGTCATTGTTTTTTATGGTTTCCAGCTTTTAACTGAGAGTAGTTGATCATCAGAGTTACAGGATGTGGTGAACTCAGTCTCAGCTGAGTAAATTGAGGCTGAGCAAACTCAAGGAAACATTTTCAGAAAGAAACTTTTTTGCTTTGAACTAGAGAAGTTTAGGTCTGAATGAAGACATTTCTGGCTGCAGAGGAGCAAACTGGTGTCCTAATGACCTGTTTCTATTTGTTTCTCTGATTCTCTTTGTGGTGCTGCTTCAGCTCCGGTACAACGGACTGCTGGAGACAATCCGTATCCGAAGAGATGGTTTCTCCTGGAGACCCTCATTTGAGGAATTTGCTGAAAGGTTTTTAAAACCTCTGAATGTTCCTTGTTAGATATTGTTAGGGAAGCAACCCTGGTAACCAGATATGAATAAGGAGTGAACCAGCTTCTTTAAAGTTCACGTGCCTGAGATCATGGGGTTGTTTGCTGTGGGAGCCTGAATGGGAATGACAGTGATTTATTGTTGTTTGCTGTGGGGGTGACATGAGTTAGCGTATCAAGGATGTGGCTCTTACCTTGCTGTATTTGTTTTTCACAGATATGGAATTCTCCTAGTTAAACCAGATGTTTCCCTCACAAAAGAAAGGTAGGAACCCTTCCTTTGTTACGTGCAACCCAGTTTGTTCTTCAGAGACTTTGGCTCTCAGAGTAGCATAGCAGACTGAGTAAAAGGAACAAAGGATGGGTTTTTGTGGTGATGGGAACATGAATCCCTAGGCAAGGACAATTAGTGTTTAAAAAGCATTTAGTAGAATGATGAATGAAATCTTTCTTGAATTGCTATGTAGCAATTCAATTCGATTACTGTAAAGCCTTACCATCCTCTGGAATGAGAACTGACTAACGTACTTGATTTAGAGAGTCACAGTAACGGTCAAGGGTGTCCACTGAACTCAGTATGGCAGGGGCTCAGCACAGTTGTGAGCTGCCTCTCCAGGCTTTTTCCTGATAGCTTCATGGGAGAAGAAGAAGATGAAGACAATACTGAGCAAACAGCCAGCACTGAATGTCTCCCAGGCTAGAGAGGATGTTTCTAGTCCGAGAATTTGCTGTGTGTACAGGCATAATATACCCCCAGCACTTCCAGAACTTGACTGTTCCTTACACACATGAATGTGCCTCCAGCTCTGCAGTCTTACCCTGTCAGCTTTTTACTGCCTACATCTAGGGCAGCAAGTCCCCACCTCTTCTTTTCCACTTTCCCAGTCACTTCTTCCTGCCATGGTCAATTATGACTGATAGTGAAAACTAAGCATGTAGGGCAGGTGGCTGGTTTTTTGGTTTGTTTTTTTTTTGTCTTTTAAGAAAAGGATTTGAAAGTACTCCTGGAAAAATTCTCCCTGGCAGTAGCTACTCCAGCCTTCACAGAGCTTCCTGGAAGTTACTGATGATACTGGATTAATAAGAATTGTAAACCCAGTTGAGATCCAAGTCAAGAGAGAATCTCATGGATGGGAGAAAGATGATGGTAGACAGGCAGCACAGTGTGTTTTCAGACACAAAAATCATAGGATGCTTTGAGAACAGAGTTACCTTGGATATAGATTCTGACACACAGGAAGTTGACTCAGATAGAAGGAAAACCACTTTTGCTTTGCTGTGTGAGATATTAGCAAAAAATGCCACTGTGGTTTCACAGCTTGGATTTGCAGGCAGGGGGAGGAAGACTAGAGTCTGCAAAATGAAAGTGGAATTGGAAAATAGACTTTCTCCCAGAAGTCTTGCTGTGCCAACCTTGCAACTTGTGTGCTCCAAAGAGCTTGGAAGTGAAATTAGGAAGAACAGTTCTCAGAATAAAATAGGCTCTGCAGAATTGTCTCCCAGGGAGTTGAAGGAAATCTGCCTTTAGGAATCCCGTTTGCTGATGTTCCTGAGTGTGATCCGAGTTGAACCTTGAGGAGCACTACAAATTGACAGCCAGTTACTGAATGTGATCGGGTGACAGGGGACAGAGAATGCAGTGCAGAATCATTGAGGCACTTTCTCCCCCTTTGTGCACCTAAAACCACTGGCTGCATGGTGTTCACTTTGCCAGATGTTTTATTTCACTTTTTTCCTCTCTTCCAGCTGCTTGGAGATACTGCAAAGTACAGAGCTGACAGGCTGGATATGTGGGTAGGTGTGGGTCACTGTTGCTGGGAACGGGGGGCCTGAACTGCAGATACTTTATACATGTAGACTGTTGTCTGCTTCTCTTGAGGGACAACTTGGTGGCTGTAGGAAAGGCCAGTCCAGAGAATGACTGGATGCAAGTTCAGATGAACTGTTTCTCACTGCTTCTTTCTCTCCCCAACTTCTCAGGAAGTCACGACTTTTCTTTAAGTATTGGCACCAGGAACAGCTGGCAAAGTATGTGGAGCAACTGGAAAGAGCAGCGGTAGTCATACAGAAAGGTGAGCACCAGGGGAGGAGGGTCCCTCAACTTTGATCTGAGACCAGGGCAAGCGAAAACTTTTCTCCAGTCGCTGCTCCACCATTGCACCTTTGCAGATGACAGGAAGGCAGGCCAGGCACCATCTCCATGTCAAGGCCCTGTGGAGTCAGAGTGGTTATTGCAGATACCCACCTCCTCAGTGCTCATCCTCAGTCGGGGAGAGCCATCAGACAGTGTGAGCCTTGGAAAGGGAAAGCACCTGTGCAGGAGAACTGAACTGAGCAGGGCAAGCATGATTTAGCTGTGTCCCAAGATCTGGGTAGCCGTTCTCTGGAGTGAGAGCTTGTTTGTGAGTGGTGGTGAACTGAAGAGAGAGAAAAGAAGATGAGTGAAGCAGATCTCATTCCTACTTTCAGAGACAGGCAGAAGGAGCTGAGGTTTGGTTTTCGTGGGTATTTTTCCTTTCCTTTCCAGGTAGTGTCTGCTCTGGCAGCCTGTTTCTCCAGAGCAGGCACTGGGGGTAGTTTGGTACTTCCCTCTGCACAGGCTCCATCAGGACTGTGCAGCCAGGAGGAGGAGGCTGTCATGAGGCTGTCATCCTGCCTGATCCCTTTCTATTGTACTTCTCTTCTGTAGGGGTTGTTGCACTTCTGAAGCATCTGAGCAGCTTCCAGCTATGCACCGTACAGTATGACAAACATCAGACTGTCACATGCTGTGCCTGGTTTTCATCTGTGAGGAAAACATGTGGATAGTAGGAAATGAGCGAGTGTGGCTTTCAGTTCATGCACTTTAGCACCTGGTAGAGTAGGTGGGATAATGCAATGTCTCTAAAGCTCCTATGAACCTTCTGATGGCTGCTTATGGGAAAGATTGTCCTGTGGCCTGACACCAAGGAAGTCCCGTCTTCTGCATGGAAGAGCTTTGTTTTTATTGAGTAGTGTCTGAAGGGTACTGGGGAGATGGATGGTTAACAGAGACCCTTCTGTGAGGCTTTGTTTTTTAGGTATCCTGTTCCTTGGCATTAGAGATGAGAGCTCAGATCTGTAACTCAGTTTTTTTAAATCTGTGATGTGGCAGCTTAGAGAGTAGAAGGCCGTTCTCGTGGTTTTGACTGCCTGCTCAAGTAGAGTCTGCATTGCTCTTTATTAATGTGATTGAAGTGTTGAGGTCTTTGCACTATGTGAAGGAATACCACCCAATGTGCTTCCCCCAGGGGGTGACAAAGACACTATGAGCATTTTTTTTCTAACCGCAGCTTTTCTCTGAACAGTTTTCAGGGGATTTAGATGCAGGAAGAGCTACCTGAAAATGGTGGCTGAGCTGAGAGCTCAGGCACAGCGGCTACAGGAGGAAGCAGAGAGAGAAAGAAGCCTGCAGCTGGCTGTGGAAGCAGAGGCCCAGAGTGAGTTGCTCCCACTCCCACTGCCCCTGTGCGTGGCCACCCATGCAATGATCACCTCGAAGTGCTGTAAGCTCTGGGTGATGATGGCCTGCCGTCAGCTCTCCTGGGGCTGGGGTGTCCACCGACATGGTGGGCAGGGAGGTGCTGAGGTTTCAGCCGTTTGAAAACACGGCTTTCTCTGTGGGGAGCAGCAGCAGCATGGGGAATGTCGTTTGCCTGCCTGTTTTGGGAGGAGTTCCAAGCTGTGTCTTTCCCACACACTCTGGGCAGCAGAGCCTGTCCCTATCCTGGGGCATGTGGAGCATGGATCTCATGGATCTTGGATGCTAGATTTCATCTACTGCTTTCCTCTTGTTGCAGAAAGAATCTCCTTTCCAGTCCCCCTGCCACGGAAGAGGCGCCCTCAGCCTTGTCCCCATGGTGCTGATAAGCCACCACAGCCACCAGTGCCACGGCCACGCAGCAAACTAACAGAGGTAGCAATACTGACTGCTGGGGGCTCTTGATCCAGGTGTGCTGGTTCCCTGCTCCCTTCACTTTCTGCATGCACATGTTCTCCTGCATGTGGTCTCAGGAGAACATTGTCATTCTTGTTATAAGTAAGAGAGCCCTTTCCTACTGTGGTTAGTTAAAAAGCGTGGTCAGGACCTTTGAGGAACTGAAAGCAATGTTTGATAGTTGTGACTCAAGAGAGTCTGGAATGGGATCCCTTCAAAGGTCCCCTGCCTTTGACCTTGCTTTCATGCCCACCTTCCCCCTCTCCCCACTTTCAGTCCACTCCTTTTGATAATTTCTTGGACCCTTCTGCGCCTCGTCCTGTTCTGAAGACAGAGGAGCAGACTGAAGAAGAGGCAAAAATGAGGAAACTCAAGAGAGGAGCAACTTTACTCTGGTTCAAAGAGACGCAGGTCCAGAAGGTCATGCAGGATGACGGGGCCTTTCCAAGCTGGCTGCATGGGATGATCAGCCGGAGGTGAGTATTGTGGACACAATGGCCACAACTTGGGCTGTGGCAGGCAGGCAGAAGCTGATGTGTCCTGAGGAGGACCGCTTAGGTTGGATTTGCCAGGATTTGCCTCCTTAAGGAATGGGAGTGACCTGCATAACCTTTCACTTTTAGGCTGTGAACTTCAAACCCTTAGGGGGAAGCTTTGTTGCTCCCGGTCACAGGATGCAAATGCTGAAACTTTATGTGGGTCCAGGGAAGGACTGTGGAAACTCATAGGAAGTAAACCCACTGTGGGTTCCTAAATAGAGAAACTGTGGAGGGAAGGGAGCCTTGGAAGGTTCTTGGAGAGGAAATGCATGCATTTGTGCTGTTGTGGACCATTTGCAGAGGTGTGATACAAGGTGAAATTGGATTTTTTGTCTGACTTATGATGACTGTTCTCATACCTCTCTGTTTAGGTCAGGAGGAGACGTGAGTTTGCAGCAAGAGAATACAGAATTCAGTGTACATTTATGTAAAAAAAAGTGTTAAGAGGGGCTTTAGTGAGTAGCCAATAGCAAGATTCCGTCAAAGCCCTCAGAGGTGATAAAAAGAAGGCTTTTTGTTGATACCTCTGTGCTTCTAACAAGAGTGCAGCATAGGTGGATTTTCCATCCCTTTAAGCTGGGAGAGACATCCACAAAGCCTTACCTTCTAATGGAGTTGTTTACGAGACCGTGAGTTCTCAAGCTTTTCTGGGAAAACCTTTACTTAAATGCTTGAAATTTGGCTACTGGGTGTACCTCGCACTTCACTTTCTTGGCTGAGCCAAACACTACTTTCCAAGCAGTGTGATAATCAGAGAAATGCTGATTATGCCCATGGCTGGATAGGAACAAGACAGTAGGGTTAGCAGGTAGACATCAGAATTTCTGGCTCTTCCCTGCGTGCAAATTAGTCTATGGGGTGCGTGCCTGCTAACTGCCGGTGTCCCTTGTTTGGTGGGACTGGTGTGTGGGCATTGCTGCCAAGTGTGCCTGTCATTTGAACATCCTTATCACCTTGTTCCAGTTTGTAGCTTTTTTCTGTTAAAGCTGCAAGTCTTCTTCAGTCTTATTTGATCACAAGTTCCTGGATTTTGTCAGCTTATCAGTGTGAACATTACTCAGAGACGTTATACAGCATGTTAGCTTAGTAAAGGACACTACAGTAGCTGACAACTCGCTGGTAGCTGCAGTATTTTTTTCTTTTTTTAAGATAATCAATAAGGCCCCCACCTGCATTAATGCTTTTATCAACAGATCCAAGAATGCAGGAGAGTAACTAGCGCCTGGAAGACAAAACTGTCTGAATTTGAAGATAGGCTAGCCATGAGCACTTCACAGTGAAGGGCATAGCAGATCCTTCCCAAAGACACTGACGATTAGATACTTTTTAAGTGGTGCTTCCCGTTGCTGGATTTAAGTCTCTATACAGCACTGTAAGCTCGGCCTCATATAACAGAGAAGCCAGAGCAATCCTGAACTGCACTGGTGATTTGCAGTCACCTTTAGCCTGGAGCAGGGCACATGACAAGCACAAAGCGATGCTTTGTTGGGCAGAGGGGGGGAAGACCTCCTTCCAGCAGGAAGTTTAGAGAGCCAGACTGGTGTAATCCAAGTTGGTGTTTTTCCAAGGCAGTGGGCTTACCTTGTGCTGAGCACCACTGCCCCACAGCATCCTGACTTATTCCGTCAGCCCTGGAGCGTCGGAAATGCACATGTGCTCAGCCTCCTCATCTCAGCAGTGCTCTGTAGTGTGTTCTGTGCTGGAAGGCAGCTGTTGCTATTGCACTAGTCAGACCTCTTGAGCAGGTTTGGAGCAGCCCTCCTTGGACAGGCTTTGGCTGAGAGTATTGTGCCTCCTCAGCTTGCTAATGCCTCCCTGCACCACCAAGCCTGACTCAGAAAACCTGCAGCTAGGAACGCGTGGGGCAGATGCTGGCCTCCCTGTGGACTGGGAGCTCTACCACGGTAGCACGTGAGGTGGGATGGGAATCCCTGCACAGAGGCAGCTGCTCACTGTCCGCTGAAAAACTCTTTCCTGCTTTCAGGGAAGCTGAAAACTTGCTGATTGACAAGCCTTTGGGTTGCTTCCTTGTTCGGATCAGCCAGAGCCGACCGGGCTACACCTTGACATACAGGTAATGAGCCTTGCAGAGAAGGAAAAAGAAGGTCCTAAACTGAGCTATGCATAGCTGGAGGAGTTAACCTCCTCCGCAGAGGAGTCTGCTGAGGGTGACTCTCTTGTTGTGGGTGCCTCAGAGAGTTTGGAGCAGCAGACAGGACACTGCGGAGTCTGTCTCTTGCCAAAAACTAGATGTGTTTGTGAGTGGGGTGCTGTGGCTGCAGGTCCTGCCTGGGCTGTGCTGTGCAGCTGCGTGGGCAAACCAGGTTGGAAGAAGCGTTGGCTGGAGCAGAGGAGATGAGTCTAAAGAAGGGGCCTGAGGAGAGGCAATCAGAGTGCTACAAGGGCATGCTCTTTGTACAGCTTCAGGCAAGGGGTAGGGCAGAGTTTTAATGTGGACAACAGGCATGGGAGATGGTACAGTCTGCTGAGGTTTTGATCCAGCTGCCGGGGTTCTCCTGTCACTGGATTTGGTTAAATGGCTGCTTCTCCAGCACCTACTAGCACAGCGTGTGACACTCCAGTATGGTGCGTCTCCTGCATCTTTGTGATATTTGTCACTGTGGCTCCTGATCACATCTGGCCTCTTGAGGTAAGAAGTGCAGAAAGCAATGACTGGGTCCTGGAGAGACGCTGCGACCCCATGCCATGACTATTTCTGTCTGTCCACCTCCCCAGGGGTGAAGGCCGCTGCCGACACTACATGATCCAGATGCAGCCCAATGCACGCTATGTCATCCTGGGGGAAGACCGGGCTCATGCCTCACTCACCGAGCTGGTTCGGTATCACCAGACTGTGGGCATCCAGCCCTTCATGGAGATACTGACTGTTCCCTGTGGGCAGGTGAATGTCAAGGATCTGCAGCCAGAAGAGGGGATGGGTCATGGACTGTGCTCTGAGCGGATAGAGTCACTGCAGCATCTCTCTTTTGTGTTCCTGGTGGGGGTGTCCCATTCTGGCCAAGCAGCTTGGCCTCTTCTGCAGGCACTGGGAAACACTGCTGGCTGGGCACTGGGGTGTCCTGGGATGGGGGAAAAGCCCTGGTAGATGGATGAACCCCAGCCCCTGAATGTCAGCAGCGAGCACAGCTGGGTACTCCTCTTCATTGTGCTGTTTAGGGTGTGTGGAGGGTCTGCAAGCCACTGCTGAATCCACTCTTCCTTCCCTCCCTCAGAAAAGTAGTGAGAGTTTGGATTACGAAGATCTAGAGTGCCTCACGCTGGGTGCACTGGCCGCTGAGGGGGAGACCCCTCCAGAGGAGCAGCCCTGCCCCTCCAGGCCTTCCACCAGAAGACCTTCTCTGCAGTCAGGAGTGGCCGCGGTTCTCAGGCACGTGTGGTTCAGGAGGACCAAGGATTGCCAAAACCAACAGAGGCTGAACATGGGTAGCACAAAGCCAAGCTCAGACAAGGAGAGAGACAGCCAACGAGCCTTCCCTCGCCTCCACTCTTCCATACGCCTGGCAATGCAGGAAATCCAGCAGGTGAGCTGGGGCATATCTTCTGCCAAGGCTTGCCGCCCACGGCTGACCTGGGACACGTGGAGCTGCCCTACCAGGTGTGGAGCTGTCTGGGACACGTGGAGCTGTCCTACCCAGCAGCAGGAGAGAGGAGGCTTCCACAAGTAGCGCTTGGTTTCCTAGCTTCTGGGTCACAGGTTTTATTTAGTGGTCTTGGGTCAAGACTCTGTTCATTGGAAGTGGTGGGCTGGGGGAGACCCTGGCAGAGGCTCGCTGAGATGGCCAAAGAAAACTCGGCAACAGAAGGGGCTGGGATGTGGCTAGCATCCTAGTCACTGCTCCCCTAACACTGTCTCTCTGCTTCTCACTGCAGTTCTCTTCCACTCCATTGAACAGGTCTGTACAGAACTGCTGTCAGGCTCTCAGCACTGAAGATGCAGAGCCCAAGTGACATGGTAAGAGGAGGCAATACACAGAAGGAAGACAGTAATTGCAGCTTCCATGGGAAATGAAAAAGCAAAGGGGCTTTTCCCTTCCTGCTCCATCTGGAGCACCTCTTAACCACCAAATACCTAGAAACAGAGCACAAAAAACAGAGGGCAGTGGCCAGCTTCCATTCCAGGACTGCAAAGAGACCAGGAAAAGTGGGAAAAATCAGCATAAGGTTGGATTCCCAGCACCTGTGGTGCACAGTGTGCTTGCAGTACGATAGCAAGGCTGCTGGAGGGAGCTCACAGTTTGTTAGAGGCCTAGGGCTGGAAGGACAAGTACTATCAGAAAGTGTATCTGCATGCTACAGTAGTCAGCTGCAGTGGCTTAATGTTGTGGAGAGAGGCACATATCAGAAGTAGGTGCTGGGCAGAGGGTTCTGGGAGGTAGCAGAGGCAATGAGCCAAAGGCAAGGCTGAGAACCTAGGAAAAGGCAGCAGTCTGTGAGGACTTCAAACAAGGTCTCAGCAGCTAGAAACACAGCTGGTTACTGAGGCTGTAATGTACTGAGCGGGTTATAGGAGTATGTAGAGTGGGCCAGAAGGGGCCTTTCTGACACAGCTGGCTGTGCCCAGTGCATTGTCTGAAGCATCTGGTGGATGCGCAGCTCCCCTGTGCGGGCAGTGGGTAAATCCTTGTCCCATTCAGTTGCTGAAGGCAGGAGGAGGCAGTAGTGGTGCTGTTGTACACCTCCAGAAAAATCTGGATTTGTGTCAACTGGGAGTGGAGAGGGATCAGAAGATCATGCTGTTGGCTGGAGGTCCACTGCGGGGCTTGCAGCGCTGCACTGGGACTGCTGAGTTCCCTGTGTGGTTCCACTCCCAGGAATTCATGCTGGAACAAAGGTTTTTAGCTGGAGCCTGTCTTGTCTTCTTCCTGATGACTGAGAAAATCCTCTCCCTGAAGTATTTGACTCCATTGCTTCATTCCTGTAGGAGGTATTGATGTACCCAGGGGATGCTCCTTGTGTCTGAGGTTAGGCAGAAGGAATACAGAGGTGTGGAATCTGTGTAGATGTCTGCAAGCGTGTCGTACTGGGATTGCTGGATGGAGCCCTCCTTCTATGTCCTCCACTGAGTCATGTTTCTTGTCTTTCTTGCAGGTCAAAGTGGCTCAGCCCCTAGCCTCTTCCCGTGCTGCTGGGCCTTTCCTAACTGGATGAGGATGAACATATCCAGACGTACAGCAGCCTTTTTTCTTTTTGTTGTCCCCTTTTAGTTTTGCTGCACCCAACTGGCCCTGTGCCTTTAGACAGGACTGCTGCAGAAATGAACTTTCATCAGCACTCAACCACTCTCAGTGGCAGAGACTGCGGTATCTGGACTGGTCTCATCCCAGCAGAGGGGAGAGGGTGGGAACAGTCACACTCTGCACAGGCCCACAGTGCCTGACAGTCTGCGTGTCAATACTTCAGCATGCCTGGAGACCCCTCACCTCACACTGTTAATAGTCACGAACTGGCTGTCTCCAAACAACCTGTTCTCTCAGAGATACCTGTACTGATTTCCAACATGTTTCTTGTCAAGTCCTCTGTCTCTCTGTTGGTCCTGTGTTTCTTCTGCTCTGGGTGCCAAGGGAAGCCGGGCTTCGGCTTGGGAAGTGAGGAATGAAACTGTTTGTCCTTTTTGTTGAGGGCAGGAGCACTTGGAACAGGAGCTGAGGCAAGGGGCAAGAGGTGGGCCTGCGTGAACCGCATGAAGTTCAACAAGGCCAAGTGCAAGGTCCTGCACATGGGTCGGGGTAATCCCAAACACAAGTACAGGCTGTCCCAGCTCCCAATAAACACAAATAAACCAAGAGGCTTGTAAGGTCAGTCTCCATGAATAACACTGCAGACAGAAAAATGTGCTTACTGTGTGAGGACCAAGGAGAAGCTATTTCAGAAATGAGCAGAAGTGGAGCAAAGAACAGCACAAATTAGTTGAAATACGATTTACAAAACAATAATCCAGGGCAGCTGAGGCAGAACTCCTCTAAACACATGGACAATTACAGACAAGGGCCACAAAAATGACCAGAGGGATGCAGCATGTCTCCTACGAGGAAAGGCTGAGAGAGCTGGGGTCATTCAGCCTGGAGAAGGCTCCAGGGAGACCTTATTGAGGCCTTCCAGTACTTAAAAGGGGCCTGTAAGAAAGCTGGAGAGTAACTTTTTACAAGGGCACGTAGTGACAGGACAAGGGGGAATGGCTTTAAACTGAAAGACGTCAGATTTAGATTCGATATTAGGATGAAATTCTTTACCGTGAGGGTGGTGAGGCACTGGAACAGGTTGCCCAGAGAAGCTGTGGCTGCCACCTCCCTGGCAGTGTTCAAGGCCAGGTTGGATGGAGCTCTGAGCAATCTGGTCTGGTGGAAGATGTCCCTGCTCATGGCAGGGGGTTGGAACCAGGTGATCTTTCAGGTCCCTTCCAACCGTTACCATTCTATGATTCTGTGATTCTATGATCTTCCTGCAGAGGGAATTTCCTGCCCTTGCATCGATGTGCTGGCACTCTGCTCCCCAGCCCTTAGCCAGAGCTCATCAGGAATCATTGGTGAAACTCTCTTGTTCATGCTGGTTGGAACTACAAGTCCAGGCTGGACAACATGCTACTTTACACTGAGGGTAGAGGGCTTGAAACATACAGGACCATGCTACTTCTGATGTATTTTCTACCGTTTAAAAGAAACCAGTTTTCTTCCTAGAAGGAGAAGCTCAGTGTTCTCTTTGTTTCTGTCACCTGCAGTCAGTTCAGCTACAGATTGCAAGTGGAGGACAACAGCTAACACATCCGAGGGCAGACACAGGACTGTGTGAAGTGCCTCAGTGGAGAAGCTGAAGGCTCATGGGCCGTTAGTCCCAGTGTACAACTGCCACCTGTAACAGTGCTCTCCCATGCCAGCTTCATCTCCCTGTGTATGCCGCGGGTGAGACCCCCCCTTTGCAGCCTGGCTCCGTGCTTCCCTGGCAGAACCCGCTGCACCCGAGGACAGCCGTGCTGCCCACGCTGCTTCACCTCTCCCTGGGAGGCACGAGTGCGGCTGAGTCCGCACAGGCTGGTGCTGTGGCCGGAGAAGCTTATTAGTGTGATACAGCACGACTGCGGCAGCGTCTTAGCGCTGACTTTAACCTCGGGGTTATTTCTCTCCCCTCCTCTGTGCTCCCTGGAGCAGCAGTGCTGCTCTGCGCTGGGTCACAAGGGAACACTGCCGGGGAGCAGGCAAGCAAGCGGTGGCCATTCCAGCCTAATGTCCTGGCTCTCCCCAGCACTGCCTTGCAGCGTGAACACACCTTTTCTCTTCCTCATGCTGGATTTTGGCAGCCGCTTTCAGGCCGTTCAGGACAGAACCAGTCCAGGCAGTCAAAGGCTGCTGTTGCAGAGCCTTCCTGGCTGAGCCCAGGGGCGTTTTGCTGGGCAGCCTTGGCCTCTGTGCCTTGGCTTCCCCCACCACCGATGCTGGGCAGCTGGAAAGCCTGCCTTCTGGGCAGCACGTAGCACAGCTTCATGGCCAAAGCATTTCTAAGAACTCGCTAGCGCACAGAGCTGAGACACGTACGAGAAATGCATTTCAGTAATGGAGCTGCTCTGTAACTTTTTCCTAGTTCCTGTGCCACAGAGTGTGGTGTAAGCCCAGGGCTAAGATGGGGGTGTTGGTGAGTTTTCCTGCATGGGTGCTGCTGCAGGCACAGCTCACAGGAGACACTGCGCAGAATGACATCGGTAGGGTCAGGGCACTTCTCTGGTGGGTGTGCATGGCACATCTCTGGGCAAGCTTCCCAAAACCAGAGCAGACTGATCACAGATTTCTTTTTCCTCCGATTCGATAGGTGGAAAGGAGAACTGCAATGTGGGCAGCCAGGAGCCTGGCACAGACCCAGGCAGCACACCTGGGTTGGCAGGTCAGGTTTCTTCCACGTCTGCTGCTTCTGCTTTTTCTGTGACATGGCAAGAGGAAACCAAGACAAGATAAGCATGACAAGCTGCTACACTGAGGAGGTTATGTAGCACTGGAGGCATTGGCATGATTTCTGCAAGCTCTGGTTTGCAGGAGCATTAGCAAACACTCGACGCTCTGCCTATATGCAAGGTCTAGCTAAGCTTCTGGAGAGCAGTCTGGCTAGCGCTGGGCTTTTGTCGGGAAAAATGTGTGCCAGCAATGGGGAAAAGCTATGTGAAGAGCTGGGAATACAACAGGCTGCTGAAGAGTAAAATGCAGATTTGAAATATCTAGTGTGGTCTTTGCCTGCATGCTTCCAGCTCATGGCCAAAGTCAGGCACTGGAGCTTCAGCTCTGTGTAAGAGCATGAGTTATGCTAAGGATTTCTTTCATCTTGTCGGAGAAGACGATCTTCTCCGTCAAAGAGGAGCAGCTGCATGAGCAACCCTATCTCATTTCCTAGGGCAGCAGCTTGCCTTGTGGCACTTGGAAAGTTATGTCTTGTAAAAAGCAAAGAGCAAACTGTGTCGGCCAAAGTGGGAAGGCCATTCGTGTTACATCATGTTATAATTCAGCTGGCGTGTGATGAACTGAATGGGACGTACTCACATAAA